TGTATATTCTTGCCTCCTTTGTCGAAGATTGGTTGACCAAAAGTTTGTGGGTTCGTTTCTGGGCTCTCTATTCTGTTCCATTGGTCTATATGTCTGTTTTGGTACCAATACCATGCTGTCTTGATGACTGTAGCTCTATAGTACTGTCTGAAGTCTGGGAGAGTTATTCCTCCAGCCTCTTTCTTTCTCTTCAGTAATGCTTTGGCAATTCTAGGTCTTTGATGGTTCCGTATAAATTTTATTATGATTTGTTCTAGTTCTGTGAAATATGTCCTGGGTAATTGGATAGGGATTGCATTAAATCTGTAGATTGCCTTGGGCAGTGTGACCATTTTAACAATATTGATTCTTCCAATCCAAGAGCATGGGATATCTTTCCATTAGCAGTCACTTTATTGTTAATAAAACTGGAAATCAAAAGCCTGCGTGCTCCAGTGGGATTAAAGTTTTTATCTTTCTAAAATATCAAATTATAGAAAAACGACAAAAAGTTACGCCGAGTCTTTGGGGGAAAAAAATCTACTAAGGTTTGAAGTAATAGAAGAAATCAAAAAGTAAAGAGATTGATTTTACTACATAAAAAGGAAACAGTGGTAACCATATTTCCAGAGGGTGTTCTGGCAACGAGTATCAAAGTGTAAATGAGCAAACCTTTTAACCAGAGGTCACAATCCTAGGAATCACACAAGGATGTTTACAGATGCATGCATTACAATAGAGAAAGATCAGAAATCACTTAAAAGTCTGTTAATAGAGGATCGATTAAGCAAAATATGGCAAATACATACAAAGGAACACTTCGCATTCATTCCCAGTAATGGTTTATTATTTATTGACACGGAAAGAGGTCGGCAAGACACTACTGTATTTTAAAAAGTAGGTTATAGAAAAACACAAAGAGGATGATCTTATTTACATAAGTATTTACAGCCACTCTGGCTGTTGGCAAGAGGACTCGGTTCCTCACCATGTGTCCCCCCACCCCATCCCCCGCGTAGGACTGCTGGAGTGTCTTCAGCGATATAGTGGCTGCTTTCTCCGGAGTGAGTGACCTGGGACTGCAAGATGGATGTGGCAAGGTCTGAATGACCAAGCCTCAGGGGCCACGCTCTCTCATTTCTGCTCTACCCTATTATTCACATATGTCAGTTCGACTCAATATGGCAGCCATGAAACCTGCAAAAGGCATGAAAACCAGGAGGCAGGAATCACTGGGAAGCCTTTTGAAGGCTGGCTCCCACCTGTATATATTGTTCTAAGTTTTTGTAAATTTCGTTGAGGCAAAATGGGACAAAAATAAGTAGGTAAAGGCTATGGCATTGTGCCAAGAGTTTGACATATATGATTGTTTTTCATCAAATCTAAAACACCATCGACTCAAGGACACACCACTGTTTACTACGCCACTTAAAAGTAAATAAAACACTGCCCGTAAAACTGTGACGCTTTGAATTTTTATTGTCTGCTTATTGAAGGAGCTGCTTTAGATTGAAGGGTAGTGATTTTCACCATATATCCCTTGTGTGTCTTAATGAGAAAGAAAATATAAGAGAAATAAAACATTCAGAGTCTGAATGTTCTAAATCACTTTTCAAATCAGAGTCATCAACGTCCACATTTCTCCGCACAAAAGCATCCCTCAGGCGACCAATGATTCTCCTCTGGGATTTTCTTTTAACACTGACACCCGTTCTGCAACTTTTGATGTTGGTGCTTTCTTGATCTTGCTACATTCAATCACACCAACTCCTCATTGCTTTGAAATTTCTTTCATCTAGTCTGTACAATTTCACAATTTCTCCTGCCTTCAGTTGCATAGCTTGGCATGGGATAAAAAAAAAATCCTCCTGCGTGTATTTCCAAAAAATAAAAATAAATTTTAAAAAACCAGAGCTTTCTCTACTCACGAATCCCTTTCTTAGGTCTCATGAAACAGTCATTGTTTTGCAAGAAAAAACGTGGAGCTGTGGTCACTTCTCCAATGATGAATGCTTGCTTCACAGATACCAAATTTATGCTCCATCTCTCTGGCAGTCATTGCAAGGTGCATAGTTGATTTCAGAGATGTTAAAATATGAACGATATGCATCCTAGAATTAATGACCTGTAGTGTCCTATTTGAGCTTCCCAACAGCCCTGCGAAATAGTTACTGTTTTACAGATGAAGATCCTAAAATGCAACTAGATAGAAGAGCTTGACCAAGGTCACATGATCAGTGAGCCCAAACAGGTACTCAGCTTCAGCTTCTGACCCTATAACCAGAGCATCTGACCTCTGCACGGCTTCTCCAGTCAGCAGAGCCACCTTCCTCCCTCGCATTTCATCAACATTGTCATCACCATTACTCTTGTCATCATCATATCATCATCATGGTCATCTTCTCTGTCATTGTCACCATAATCACCATCGCTGTCATCATCATCACAGCTAATATTTACTGAGCACATGTTTACTATGTGCTAGGCTCTGTGCTATGGTTTATATGGTTTGCCTCATAACGACCCTACAGACAGGCTTTATTACAACCTCATTCTACGAGCACTGATAGTAAGATTCAACAGAGATCCAGTAACTTGTTCAAAATTATTCCGCGGAGGCCTGAATTCAAAACCTGGCCATCTGACTAGAGATACCACACTCTTTAACTATTACAGAATTAAGTCTAGGACACAACAAACTGTAGGCACTCAATAAAAGATACACGTATTTGTGCCTATCCCAGTGACCAGTATGCAGAAAATAAACAAATTGGGAGTTCGAGATTTGCAGATACTAACATATATATATATATATTTTATATATAAAATAAATAACAAGTTCATTCTGTATAGCACAGGGAACTATATTCAGTATCTTGTAATAACTTATGTTGAAAAAGAATATGAAAATGAATATATGTATGTTCATGTATGACAGAAGCATTGTGCTGTACACCAGAAATTGTCACAACATTGTAAGCTGACTCTACTTCAATAAAATATATATATATATACAAAAAAAACCCCAGCAATAAGAGCAGCTAACTTTTAACTGAGCCATTACTACGTGCCAGGCATTATGCTAAGTGCTTCTCACAGTTTTTTTCTTTTACTCTCCACATCAGCCCTAGGAGGCAGGCACTGTCTTATCCTCATCTTACAGGTGAGGAAATTGAGAACTGGAGAAATTAAGAATGCAGCCAAGGGTGACATGTTACAGACATGACAGGCCAGCCAAGAAACAAGCACCACTCGGAGGGTTGGAGTACTCAGATTTACGCCGGCGGGCTCAGAGGGGCTTCTACTCCAAAGCTCTGAGCACCTCCAAGAAGTGCGCATGAGGTTTTATAGGGTTAATTACAAGCTTGGGGTATTCGGCCAATAGGCATGGAACAGCTTTAGCAGAATCATTATCACAAAAGTAGAGGCAGAGAGGCAGCAAACCAGCATTTCAAGACCAGATATGTCTCTCTGAAAATCCAGCTGGCTAGCAAAAAACATGAGCAGGGAATCAGCAAACCGACACTTACTAACTTAGATTTACAAATTAGCCCAGCAGAACTCAGGTCAGTAACCTGACACTTGCTGCACTTAGATTTACAGGTAGGCCCTGCCCGGCTTTTCCTTCACAATACAACCAGTTGGTGACTCAGCAATCATTGAAGCCCAAGAGCCCTGATTCAAAAGCCCATGTTCTCAAGTAGTACACAGTAA